CATCTGGAGATTGTATACTGTTTTGTAATCATTTGCTCATTAATCAGGCACTGGTTCTAGAATTTAGGAAATACCAGCTCAGTAGCTTCTCAACAATGATGAAGAGTAGACAGTATTTGAAAAACACAGTAGTGGGAGAGTAGAAGTTTGGGGGAAGGAAAAGAGACTCTCTAAGCACAAAGTGTGCTTCTCCACTCCTCGTGCTGCTCCATTCTGTGTTTCCCTAGCAGATCTTCTAGGCAAGGATCCAAGAGAAGGTTTGAAAGTTTCTGTCCACAGTTAGATAAACATCATTAGTGGAGAGATGGATTATGGCGGCACCTAGGAGGTCCCACCGAAGTTTGAAAAGGGAGGGAGAAAATAAAATATCTGAAGACATCTTCTGTAGTGGAAAGGACAGAAAAATCATTGAGTCTGGCTTTCTTCTGTCACCCCAAGTTCCCGCACAATCCACCTACATCCCATCAGCAACATAAAATGACTGTTTTATGAGTGAGAACAGGAAACTGTGGCTATAACAAGTTTTCTTTCCCCTTTTCTTTTGACGAAGAATAAATGATAGATGTAAAGAAAAATATGAAACAGTAATTTAGGAAATAATTTCTTTTTATTTAAGAGCCCTTTTTTGACATGGTGGTATTTAAGAATACCAATCAATGAGTATCACAGAGTACTCATGAATTCAGTAGATACATATGTGTTGGGTGTCTAATATATCCTAGCGGTGCGTGAGGCACCATTAAACCAACGAAAATTATTTCTATGTTTAAGGGGATAGCAGTTGAGATAGGAAGAGGACAAGTAAACAGATAATTTTATCAGTTCCAAGAGGAGTGAACACAGGTTACCACTAGAGAGCCTTGCAGCTGTGAATATCAGTAAAAACTCCCTGTGGAAAGCAGGAGCCTCAAGCATGAGTGGAGGTTAGTTCAGAGAGAAAAAAGGTGCTCTTTTCAGACTTAGCATCAGACACAAAGGCTCAAAGAGGTGAGCTCATAAAACTTTGATTGTTGAGTACGACAGGTGGCTGGAACTGAAGCTGCAAGGGAAAGGATGGTACCTATTGATTTTATTTTGACCCACTAGTTCAGCAATTGTCCCAGTTCCTGGAGTTTGGTTTTTATTGGTGAGATGGGGTAGCAGAGCATGGAATTAACTGATGTCCATACATAGGTAAGTAACTGGGTGGGTTCAGAGCCCTTCCTCTCATCGACTGCTTAACTTCTCTCCTCTGCATCGTTGGCGTCCTTTTATGATGCTTTTCCTCACTTCCTAGACACGGTTTCTCCATTACAGTATACCCATCTTCAACCCCTTCTCTTCCTGGCTTTACTTTGAAGCTAACCTCCTTGCTCTAGGTATAAATTCATTTTCCAAATATATACATTACATATGACAATGTCTATGGGGAAATAGGACATTTTAAATGCGAAGGAGAGAGCAGGATTCGCTGCAGGTTGGAGAACTGTTTTTCCAAGGGTCTGCCTTTCTAATGTGCTCCCAGGTGATGCTGATGCTGCGATGCCTGTCTACATTTTGGAGAACCTGGCCTGATGACCCAGAACCGATCCCAAGAGCACCTGTGCATGGAACACAGGCTGGAATCCAGCTCTCTCTGGGGGAAGGAGGAGTCCCTGATCTCCACATGCCCCAAATGTTGATTCTGTGTCTGCATGTGGATAGATAAGAAAGAGCCATCTCAATTAACCTGCCATACAGAGAAGAATCTCGTAAAAAGTTCCAACTCTCTTTTTGGAGCCAGCTTTTTTTTTTTTTTTTTCCTCGGAGTCTTGCTCTGTTACTAGACTGGAGTGCAGTGGCACAATCTCAGCTCACTGCAACCTCTGCCTCCCAAGTTCAAGCTATTCTTTTGCTTCAGCCTCCTGAGAAGATGGGACTACAGGCATGTGTCACCATGCCAGGCTAATTTTTGTATTTTTAGTAGAGATGGGGGTATCATGTTGGCCAGGCTGGTCTCGAACTGCTGACCTCAGGTGATACTCCTGCCTTGGCCTTCCAGAGTGCTGGGATTAGAGGCTTGAGCCATCACACTCAGCCTGGATGCCACTTTTTATGATGCTTAGAATCTGGTGCCCTTTCGGAAAACTGAAGCCTTGGCAACCTAAAGTTGGTACATTGTTCTTTCTCCCAAAGAGGAAAGCAGAGGGAAGATCCAGGCCAGCACTTTCCAAAATTCAGTGTGCATAGGAATCACCTGTGGAGTTGTTAATATGCAGATTGAGATTTGGTACCTCTGAGTGGAGTGGGGCCCAAGAGTCGGCCAGGTGGTGCTTCCAGCTGGTGCTGGTGCTGCTGGTGCCTGGATACATTGTGAGTAGCAAGAGCAAGGAAACTAAGTGACTCTCCTCGGTTGTCTGCAGAGTCGAGGATGTGGCATCTTTCAAGCCTGAGTCAGAATCTCTGGGCAGTAGGCTCCCAGGAGCTGCACAGCTGTGTAAGATTAGAAATCTCAGAGCTGAGCAGGATGGGGCCGGGGCCCAGTTAATGGCATCATTTCATTGTAGTAACTGCAGCAAACCAGAGCCAATTGCAGGCTGTTTAGTCGGCTTTCCCGTGTTTGTTGATTTTGATATTACTGATTTATTAAAGGAAGAGGAATCATGTTGGATATCAGAAAAGTGATAGAAAGAGAGAAGTAGAGTAAATCCAAACATCTCTCTCTACGCTCTCAAAACCTGTCCCCCACTCCCACTCCACCCCCTTGTTGCCAAGTTATGAGATCTTGGGCTGACTTCCAAGTTCCAAAGTTCAAGTGTGGAAAAAGCCAACTAATCTCCTGAAAAATCTCTTGATGTGTATTTTTCTTTGAAAATCTGGGCTGATTTTAAACTTAGCCCACTGTGCTAACTGTGCTAACAGGCATTATCATTGTGGACACCCCCTGCTCTATTTTCCAAGGATCTCCCCCACCATCCCCCGCTGGTATCGTCACCAGATACAGAATGGAATTTGTCAAGGCAAGCCATGTATTACTACTAAAACATTAATTCAGTTAGTGCATTAGGAGCAGGAAGACTGATTCTTTGCATTATATTTTGGCTGTCAGGCCTGATTTGAGCTTATTTCTCATTGAGTATTCCATATCAAAGGCTGGGATAATAGAATTACAGGACGTTAGGACTTTTAATCTGGAAGGGACCCTGGAGATCATTTAGTGCTGCCTGCTCGCTTTACAGATGAGGAAACTATATTTTTTTGTCTGAAGAGCTTGAGGAAATACTCGGCTTTTGATATGCGCATGAGTTGCCATTCCCGTGTATGGGAGTTACGTGTGTGCTTGCAGGGAGTCAATAATGGATCTTTCCTATTTAGTTATCCTTGATCTTGGCTTTAGTTTCATCAAAGTCTGTCATACACGCTCTCCGGACAGCATACATTTTGCAATACTATGCAAACGTCTTGGTTCCTGATAATAGTGGAAAAGAAATGTGATGTTTTTACTTAGAAGACATTTTATACAATTTAATAGCAACTGCATCTCTGGTATCTATAACAGATGTTATCCACTGCAGGCAACTTTTTCTAAGTAATCTAGCTGAATTTTAGCTGCTGAAATTTTCTGTATCATTTGGTGATCATATTTCATTTCAGACTTTTGAACACGACAGATTGTCCACCTGGATCTCATTTTGCCACATTTTACTGATGGCCTGACTGAGATCTTTCAAGTTCTGACTAACTGACCTTGAAGGAGTAGCTTGTTGTTTAAATTTTATGACACAGAGATGTAAGCTGCCTGCAAATTGTGCAACTCAGTGGTGATGAACAATGAGTTAGATTTTTATTACTATTTATTACCTACAGTTAAGGAATTAGCAAGAACTGTTACATTGTACCCATTCCTGGGACAAAATGCCAAATTAACTTTACAACAAGCACATGTGTAACGTGAGAACTACATTTTTTGGTTGCAAATCTAAGCTCCGTGTAGTGCTATTATGCTTTTGCCTTCCTGTGGCTGCTCTGCTTCTGTAAATGACAGGTTTCTCCCCCTTAGCCCTGCTGTTCTGAGTAGGATGGCCCAATACCTGAGGATCTGAATGACGTTGGATGGGAAATACAGACAGAAGACACATAAAAAATACTACCCATCACCCCAATCTGACCATGAAGAAAACATCTAACAAATTCAAACTCAATGACATTTCTTCTACAAAATTCCTGGCCAGTACTCCTCAAGGCTGTCCAGATTATGAAAAACAGGAGGAGTGCGAATGACCAGAGTCTCCCAGAGGCTTGCGATATAAGATGACTCAATGTGTTGCGGGACCCTGCATGGGATCCTAGGACAGAGCGAAGACACTTGAGGCAGTCTTAACAAAGTATAGACTTTAGTTAATAATGATGTGTCTGTATTAGTTCATTGGTTTGGTCACATGTACCATGCTAATGTAAGCTGTGAACAACAGAAGAAACTGAGCACAGTGTACAGGTGAATTCTGTGGTATCTTTGAAACTTTTCTATAAATCTAAAATTATTCTAAATTTAAATGTTTACTAAATATAAAGCTTATGCCCATTCAGCTTCTGCTGACACCAAGCAAGTGTCTGTGACAGGTCAAGTTTCGGCTCCATCATTTCATTAAATCTTCAGAACAACTTTATGAGGTATTTGTTATTATTCCCACTTTATCACTTTGATAAAAGAGAAACAGAGTTTCTACGTTGATTGAGATCCCTTGGCTTAAAAATGGCAGAACTGTGATTTTAACCCTTGTTTATCTGACTCTAAAGCACACACCTATTTCCGTTCCCCACCTGGTTCTCAGAATACTGAAGAGATGGGGCAGAGTTTGGGGAAATGGGATGGGAATGACTGGAACAGACTGTGTGTAGCTCAGCAGAACACTGTCTGGTTTCCCAGGGAGGATCACACGGCCTCCATTTTTGCCAAAGGCTGAGGTCCAGGCTAGCTTTAGGTGAGTTTTCCCATTTCCTTGGATTTCATTGAAAATATTAAAAAAGAAATTCCCTTTGCAGTGGCCATGGGTGTAGTGTCTGCCATGTAGAGGAGCAGCTGCTGGCTGTCGCACCAACACTCCAGCTTGCCTGGAGCAAGGTAAGGGTAGTAATGCTTCATCTTCTTTCAGAATCCCTACCACTCTCTGTGCCTCTGAGTCACTGGTAGGCCTAAGGACATCCAGAGTCCTGGCTTCTTGAGATTCTGACTCAGTAGATGAGACGAGAGCCCAGAAATCTGCATTCAAAATTGTTTATTAATGATTTGGCCATGAATCCCTGTTCTAAAGCTGAATCTCAGTTAATCAACTCTTGTTCTCACTGAAGAAAATGTAAAACCACCTCAACCCGGTTGTCTCTTCAGTAGGTAGCATTAATAGACCGTGTAGGCCAGAAGTCCACAAACTATGCCTGTGGTCAAATGACCCACAGCCCCACCTGCCTGTTTTGTAAATAAAATTTGCTTGGACACAGACATGCTATTTGTTTATTTGTTGTGTATGGTTGCTTTCTTGCTACTATGGCACACTTGAGACCGTATGGCCCAAAAGTCTAAAAGGATAATCTCGGTGGCTCAAGCCTGTAATCCCAGCACTTTGGGAGGCCGAGGCGGGTGGATCACGAGGTCGAGAGATCGAGACCATCCTGGTCAACATGGTGAAACCCCGCCTCTACTAAAAAATACAAAAGATTAGCTGGGCATGGTGGCGCTTGCCTGTAATCCCAGCTACTCAGGAAGCTGAGGCAGGAGAATTGCTTGAACCCAGGAGGCGGAGGTTGCGGTGAGCCGAGATCGTGCCATTGCACTCCAGCCTGGGTAACAAGAGCGAAACTCAGTCTCAAAAAAAAAAAAAAATAAAAATAAAAATAAAAAAAAAATAAAAAAATAAAAGGATAATCTGAACCTTTACAGAAAAACGTTTTCCAACCCATGGTGTAAAAGACAGAAAGGACCTGGGGGGGTTGGGAGGTGGGAAGAGATAGCATGGGGAGAAATGACAGATACAGGTGAGGGGACGGAAGGCAGCAAACCACACTGCCAAGTGTGTACCTATGCAACAATCTTGCATGTTCATCACATGTACCCCAAAACCTAAAATGCAATAAAAAAAAGAAAAAAAAAAAAAGAAAAAAAAAAAAAGACAGAAAGGTATCTGGATTAATAACTAGTCACAGTTAAAGGGAAAGGGAGTCTAGTTGCTCTCAAGCTTCAGTGTACCAAAAAATCTCCTGTGATACTTATTTTAAATGCCACCCCTTGAGATTCTGATTTAGTAGCCTGGGCTGAAACTCAGAAATAAGCATTTTTAGCAAGGCTTTGAGACACATGGTCCCAGTCACCAAGAATACTGACCGTGACAATAGCTAGAACTAGGTCCCTAACCATCTCTAGAGGTCTGTGTATGTTTAGTTATTGCTGCATAATACATTTGAGCAAAGACTTTAAAAGTGAATATCACTTTTATGAACTAAATCATGCTTCCCTCCCACAAATTTATATATTGGGGCTCTAACCCACAATATAACTGCGTTCATAGAGTCATTAAGGAGGTAAAGTTAAATGAAGTCGTAAGTGTAGTGCCCTAATCTGATTGGAGTGGTGTTATTATAAGTGGAGAAAGAGACACTAGAAATATGTTTTTCTTCTCTGCAGGTGCACAGAGGAAAGGGCATATGAGGACACAGCTATAAGGCAACCATCCACAGCCTGACCAGCAAGATCTTACCAGAATCAAACCCTGCTGGCATCGTGATCTTGGCCTTCCAGTCTCTATAACTGTGAAACAATACACTTCTGGTGTTTAAACATTCAGCCTATGGTATTTTGTTACAGCAGCCTGAACTGACTATTACAATCACTAAATTATCAAAAGGGGGAATTAAAAGTGTTGTATCTGTTTCACTCAAGATATGAATAGGAAACAGAAAAGTTGGACAAAAAAACCCAGATAAACAGAAATTTAGTAAATTTTTGCTGAGTAATGAATCTAGACATTTTGCTTTTTGATATGCTTTTAAGGACTTCAGTGAGGTATAACTGATATTCAATAAACCACAATTACTAAAATTTACAATTTGATATGCTTTGCCATATGAAACCACCATCAAAACTCAAGATCATAAACACATCTATCACCTCCCAGATCTCCTTGTATACCTAGAACCCCTCTCTGTGCCCCTTCTTAATCTGCCCCCTGCCACCCTTTGGAGAAAACCTCTGTTCTGTTTTCTGGTACTATAGATCTGTAGGTTAGTGACAATTTTCTAGAATTTTATATAAATTGAATAGTATGGGATGTAGCCTTTTTTGATTTTTTTCCCCTCACCATCATTATTCTGAGCTTCATGCATGTTGTTGCTTATATCAGGGTTTCATTTCTTTTGATTACTGTGTTATAATCTGTTGTGTATACTGTCATGTGTTTCTTCATTCTCATATTGATGGACTTTTGGCTTGTTTCCAGTTTTAGGCTATTACCAAATAAAGTGTAAATCTTTGTATGGATAGTTACATTTTTACTGGATCAACTAGGAGGTGTATATTTAACTGTTAAAGAAACTGCCAAATTGTTTTCCAAAATGGTTGTACCATTTCACATCCTGCCAGAGGTGCATAAGAGTATTAGTTCCTCCACATCCTGGCCAACACCTGATAGTCTTTTTAATCCAAGCCATTGAAATAGGAGTGTAGTGATATATCATTTCTGATTTTAATATGCATTTCTCTAGTGACTTAAAATATTGATAATCCTTTCATATGCTTATTTATCCTTCATCTATCTTCTCTAGTTGTCTGTTTTGCCTATTAAATAGATTTTTAAAAATGTATTAAGTTTTGAGAGCTCTGTATTCAGAATGTAAGTCCTTTATTAGACTTATGCTTTGCAAATATACCTTTTCTGTCTGTAACTTGCCTTTTTATTCTTTTATGAACGAAACAATGTTGGTCCAAAAGCAAAGGTTTTTAATTTGAAGAAATACAATTTACCAATTTGTTCTTAATGGACCATGGCTTGGCTGTCACGGCTAAGAAGTTTTTGCCTAACTTGAGGCCACAAAGGTTTTGTCCTGTTTCCTTCTACAAGTTTTATAGTCTTAGATTTTTACATTTCATCCTACAATCCGTTTGAGTTAAATTTTTATATGGTGCAAGTTGTGCATTGAGGTTCATTTTTTGCATATGAATATCTAATCATTTCAGCATCATTTGTTGAAAAGACGACCTTTCCCCATTGAATTACTTATGTACCCTTGCAGAAACTCAGTTATTTACATACATAAGGGCCTATTTCTACATTCCCTATTTTGTTCCACTGATTTGTCTATTTTTGTATCAATCACACGTCTTAATTACAGTAGCTTTATAGTAAGTATTGAAATTACTGAATTTTTGTCTTCCAACTGTTTTCTTCCTTCCAGAATAAGTTATTTTGGCTATTCTAGGTCCTTTGTATTTCCATATTAATTTTAAAATCAGTTTGTCAATTTCCAAAATAAAAATGCTGGGACTTTGATGTCTTAGTGACAATTATGACAATTCTGCTAAGGGTAAGTGACTCATTCAGTTATCATTTTACGACAAAGGAAAATATGCAAACATATACAGAAACAAAATCAGCAGAACATTATCACACTAATAATTTTGCTCTCATTACGAGGAAACAGTGAAACAAAATTATTTTTTTTTAATACTCTAGCTTTAAAAAAAATAAGGTGGAAGGGACATAAAGGTAACCATTTTAATGTGAACAACTCAGTGGCATTTTGTACATTCATAATGTTGTGCAACAACCACCCTTACTAATTTTAAAACATTTTCCTCACCCTGAAAGAAAAACCTGTATCCATTAACCAATTGCTCCCTATTTCTCCCACTTCCAGCACCGCCAGTTTTATGTTCTGTATCCATGTGTTTACCTCTTCTGGCCACTTCACATAAATATAATTCTAGAGTACATAACCCTATGTGTCTGACTTTTTTCACTTAGCATAATATTTTCAAGGCTCATCCACATTGTATCAAGCATCAGTACTTCAACATCAGTTGGGTCTAGTATTTATACTGTATAAAACCTTTTACTTTTAATAACCAAAGTCTTACATGTTGTTTAAATGCTAGACCCAACTTCAGTTGAAGTACTGTATATACCACAACTAAAGTTGAAGTACTGTATATACCAAATTCATTGTATGTATTTACCATAAATGGTTTATCCATTCATTTATTGATGAACATTTGGGCTGCTTACACTTTTTGGCTATTGTTTATAGTGCTGTTGTAAATGTGTATGTATTTGTTTGAGTACCTGTTTTCAATTCTAAAAGTAGAATTGATAGTCATAGGGTAATTCTACATTTAACTTTCGGAGAAATTGCCCATGTCACTGTCACAATGGTTGAACCATTTTACATGCTCACCAGCAATGCATGAGGCTTCCATATTCTCTACATCCATGCTAAAAGTTATGATTTTCTTTTCTTTTTTTGAATTATAGCCATTCTGATGAGTGTGAAGCAGTAACTTATTGTGGTTTTGATTACTTTTCTGACTAATACTGTTAACCATCTTCTCATGTGTTTTTGCCCATTTGTGTATCTACTTTGTCTATTCAATCCTTTGTCCATTTTAAAATTGAATTGGTTATATTTTGGTTACTAAAATGTAAAAGTTTTTATACAGTAAAAATATTAGCTCCTTACCAGATATATAATTTGAAGGTATTTCTCCCATTCTGTAGGTTATCTTTCCACTTTCTTATTAATTTCCTTTGACCCACAAAAGTTTTAAATTTCAATGTAGTTTAATTAATTAATTTATTTTGCTTTTGTTACTTTGGCTTTCAGCATTTTATCTAAAAATCTATTCTCAAATCAAAGTCATGGAAATTTACTCTTATATTTTCCTCTACCTATTTAGATTTTTAATCTATTTTTAAGCAAATTTTTGCATATGGGGTGAGGTAGGGATCCAACTTCATTTTTTTTATAGGTAGGTGTCCAGTCGTTTCAACATTATATTGTTTAAGAGACTGTTATTTCCCCATTGATTAGTCATGGCACTCTTGTCAAAAATCAGTTGGCCATAGACATATATGTTTACTTTGAATTTTCAATTTTATTCTATTGGTCTATATGTCCATCCTCTTACTAGTGCCATTGTTTTGATTTCTGTTGCTTTGCAATAACTTTAGACAAAAGTGTGACTCTTCCAACTTTGTTCTCCTTTTCTAAGATTGTTTTCACTATTTAAGACACTTTACAATTCCATACATATTTTAAAATAAGCTTTTCATTTATCTAATAAAGACCATTTAAATTTTGATATCAATTATTCTGTTGGATATATAGATTTATGAAGTTTAAAAAATATCTATTTAAAAATAACAAGTTTCTAATTTGTGGACATGGGGTGTTTTCCATTTTTTAGATCTTTAATTTCTAGTTTTGGGGAGAGTTTTTTTTAAATGTTTGGTAAAATTCATCTGTGAAGGCATCTGATCCTTGGTTTTTCATTGTTGGAAGTGTTTTTTATTGTTATTTGTTTATTTTAAATTACTAGTTCAATATCTTTACTTATCAATCTGTTCAGATTTTAAAAAAATCAGTTTTGGTAATTTGTATTTCTGAGAATTTGTCCATTTCAGACTGGTTATCTAATTTTTGATGTATAACTGTTCTTGGTAGTCTCTTACGATTTATTTTATTTCTGTTAGATTAGTTGCAATTTCCCCTTTTTTACTTCTGATTTTATTTTTTTGTTCTTCTTTCCTTTGTTTGCCAGTGTAGCTAAAGTTTTGTCAATGTTGTTGATATTTTTAAGAAATCAACTTTGGTTTCATTAATACTTTCTATTGTTTTCCTATTCTCTACAGGTATTGATCTCCTTACGACCTAGGCAACTTACGACCATTCGACTTTACATCACAATCACTAGCCACGACTGCTCCATGTCTTACAGCACAAATGTTGCACAGCTGGGTGTACCACAGTGTGGACCAGCTTCCGGCAGCACTACCATCTCTACGTGCACCATTTCAACTGTTAACCCAGACTCAGTACAGCAATTTGTGTTTTGTGTCTCGGATATTTTTCATCAAACCCTTCCCAAGATGTCTACCAAGAGGAAATTGTCTTTGTCTATGCCTCAGCCTCCCAAGAAGGAAAGAAAGGCCATTGATCTCAACACGAAAATGAAGATAATTAAGCAGTATGAAGGAGGAAAGAAAGTGTATGTGATCGCACGTGATACGAAGTTATCACACTCGACTGTGTCGACGATTTTGAAAGATAAAGAAAGAATTCATGAAGCTGTGAAAGGTTCTGCACCCATGCGATCAACAGTTATAACAAAGCAATGAAGCCGTACCATCCACAAAATGGAGAAACTGCTATATATTTGGATGGAAGATCAAATTCAAAAATGGACACCATTAAGTCTTTTTACTGTGCAGATGAAGTCGAGAAGTCTATTTCAGACTCTGAAGGAGTGTGCTGGAGAAGATTACAGTCAAGAATTTGTAGCAAGCACTGGCTGGTTCCAGAGATTCAAGAAAAGATTCCAAATGCATAGTGTTCAAGTGACTGGAGAAGCAGCGAGTGCGGATGAGGAAGGAACATGTAAGTTTGTTGATAGTCTGGATGAATTAATTACAGATGAGGGATATCTAGCAGAACAGATTTTCAATGTTGATGAACTTACAAATGAAGAGCTAATCGAACTGGAAGAAGAAAGAGTGGTGGAAGAAGAAAGAAGAGAAGCAGAGAAAGAAGAGAAGGAGCCAGAAAGAAAGTTCACCACTAAGAGA